AATGATCCCTGTGGAGGTAGGAACCGGTTCACTTTGGATGGACCTATTCAACGAAACAGACAATGAGGCGCTTATGTGCGCAAGTCTGGATCTTGTTGAAGAACATCGCAGCAAGGCTCAGCTAAGAATAACAGCCTATCAGCAACGCGTGAAAAGGTTCTTTGACTCTAAGGTTAGAAGAAGAGACTTCCAAGTCGACAACCTCATTTTAAAGGAAGTCCTTCTCGATACTAGAGAACCAAGTACGGGAGTTTTGAGACCAAACTGGGAGGGCCCATACCGCATTGCTAAAGTGACAAGACCAAGGACTTATCATCTCAAAAGGCTGAATGGTTTTGAAGTACCGCGAGCTTGGAATGCTGAACATCTCCATCCTTGTAAATAACAAGTGTATAATTCTGTTCTTTTGTAATCATTTTCCCATGTATATAATTCTATTCGCATAGACTTTTTCCAATGTCATTGTAAACAGTTAGAAAGCAATCTCATGTATAACATATAGGGTACGAAAATTGTAAGTTCTCGCGAAAGATTAAGAAAGATATGCATTTATTCATTGATAAAAGGGAAAGTACTTAAGTGAGCAGGAAAAAGACTACAAAAGCAGATCATTGATTCTCGTCCCCAGGTCCCGGAGGGGCGACCTCAACATCCTCAGGCTGGTCGCGGATCACCTAATCGAGTGTGAGCTCCTCTGGGACGTGCTCCAGATGCTCCTCTTCCAGGTCAGGTCCTCGAGCAGCTTCCTCATCCTCAGCCCACGCCATGAAAGCAAGTTCATCCCGGTACTCGTCGGGAAGGTTGGATAGATCCATCATAGGGTTCTTCAGTTGAAGGGCGAAGATGGACTGAATCGTCCATTCTGCAGCCCTCATCTCGATCTCCGCCTCCTGCTACTGCATCTCTGCGGTTAGCGAAGTGACGCGATTGCAAGTGAATTGGAGCTCAGCCTTAAACGCTGACCGCTGCTTCTCAATAGTCTCCCACAGCTCACCTCTTTCCCGCTCTGCTCGTAAGGCCTGCTAGGAGGTTGTTTTCAGCTCCCGGTCTTTCTCGCCAACCTCCTTGGTGAGTCTAGCCACTGTCCTTTGGAGCTCATTTATCTCCTCTCCGTGCTTCTCCAACTCGGCCTTCTGAAAGTCCATCGTGCGAAATGCAGCATCCCTTTTGGACAAATGCTTATTCGCCTGATTGATGGATGAGTCTCTGTCTGCTCGTACGACCTCTAGTTCCCTCTTGAGCCACGCATTCTTTTCCCTCGACTCGACCAGTCCCTCAGCAGCCCTCAACTGAATCTTCTACAGGTACAGGTGCATAGAAAGCAGGGTCTGCGTAACGAAGAGAATAAAGAGTTAGTTCGATCCAAAAAAGCAAATATAAGTCCTCACCGAGGACAGCTCGCTTACCTTGCTCAGGTGTTGGAAGGACGTGGACATCAGGTCCATAGGGTTGGAGGCCACGAATTACTCGAATGCCTCCGCGAGCCCGCACTCTAGCAGGGTGAAAACCACCTGTTGCAGATGATCCGGAAGTTGCCCTATCGAATCCAGCACGGGTGTGCCTGTGCCCCCAACAGGTAGAGTTCCCTCCGCTGGCTCTTTGCCCAACCTCCTCCCAGGGACTACGGCCTCCCTTTGCCTTGTTTGTGGACCCCCTTAGGGGCAATGGAGATGCCGGTCACACCCTTGGGTGGCCTTTCCGAGCAAAATGCTTGGTAAGGCTACGACCTCTCAAGTTGAATGCCTAAAGCCTCCATTTCGGACTCTGACTCCTTGGTCCGAATTTGGTTCCTCTTCTTGGGCTTTTGGGCCTTTGTTTTCTGCTTCGGGCAAGCAGCCGCAGGTCAGACTAGAGCACTCACTGGTGTCCCTCCGATGGGGGGACTGTTGGGAGTCACTTTGGCTGGTCTGGTGACACCAAATCGGGGGAAGGCAAATTGCTTTGGTCGCGGCGATCTAGACACCCTTGGAGGCATGGTCGCTATATGCGAACATCGTTAGCAAAACAGTTCGCTACATGAAAAATCTGAAATTAAGCTAAGGTTACGAAGCTTACTTGGTGTGGTCTCTAGGGTTGCTTCGGAGTTAAAGAAACCGTACCTCCAAAAAATTTACGGTTGTCACGAGCAATCTTGCGTCGTGACTCTCTTCGGGCAGAAAGCTGAAGGTAGTGATCCTATCCAAATCCTCGAGGAGCGTTAACCTAGTCGTTTTGTTAACTGCGAAGAAACAAAAAGCTCGTTAACGAATAATAAAAGTAAGTTCACAAACTCAAATGAAAGGAGAACCTACTCGGCTCCTGAAAATGGCAAATGCCATCATGACGAAATAAAAAGAACTTCGTCTCATATGCCCCCACGTTGCTTGGGTAACTATGTATTCCCGCTTCGATGGTAGGTCGCTTGGAGAGATAGTAGGAATCCTTGTCCTTACTTTTTTTTAGAATGTACGAGCAACCGAGCTCTAGTGCGATTAGCTCGCCCAATCCATTTTTGTCGCACGTGATGTATATAGCCACGACTATCATGTACGTGTTCGGCGTGAGCTATAATCGTGCGATCCCAAAATGATCGAGGACCAACCTGACAAAAGGGTGGAAAGGGATCAACCCTCCACTCTTGAATATGTTCTCAGAGATTGCCACCATCCCTCGTGGCAGACTCCGAGCTATGTGTACTCTATCTCGGAAGAACTCCACGCTGAGAGCGTATTGGTCTACCACCCTCTGAATCTCCTCGGCCGTAATTATCGATAGGATCTCTTGAGGGGGACCTGCAGAAGCATCCTGCACAGGCGAATTGGTCCCCTCCTCAATTCTGGTCATTGGGGAGTCCATTCTACTGCGGTCTGAAAAAAGTGACATGCAGGGAATCATTTAGTCCTCATACACTGTTTTGTACAATGACATGGAGGAGAGCAAAAAGCTTCCTCCCTTAAACCCTAGAAAAACCCTAATAGAATAATTTTAGAACCACCATCGAATGGCTCAAACCCAAGGAGAATATTCCATCTCCGATCAACTAACAGCAAACTATCATCGCATAGCAACTATTGAAAGCAAGAAATAAAAATAAGTGGCAGAGAAATCATCCTTACCTCTTGGAATGAGAAGATGAATCCTCCTGCTTCGAATATCAAGCGCTCACCAGTCTGATAGACAAAGAATCAAGGCTCACAAAAATTTTTGCTCTCTCTAAGAAGGTGAGTATTGTGGCATTGCCTGAAGTGAGCTTGGGGTTTTATAGTGAAGGAAGTGGTGCTTTGGTTTATCGAAGTCAAACGACATTTGGGCGGAAAACACATATGACCGTTGATCACGACCACGTGTTGTAAATCAACGAAGAAGAGTGACCATCACGCTTCGAGAAACCAAATCATCGTTCTCTTCCGTTGAAACGCTCAAGCGACGGCATGTTTTCCCTCCTCCACATTAAATGCGCCCACATCCACATTTAATGCTCTGATAGGGAATGTCGTTTCAGCATGACTCGCATTTAATACTCATGGCTGGCACTTATTGCACACAAAACACACCTGTCAGAGCAAAAGATATTTCATTAAATGTGTCAGCTACAAAAGTGCAACGGATAACATCTGAAGAGGTCGTTATATAGAACACTTTTTGTCTTATGTCAGTCGCGAAGCGATGTGACTCTTTGATCTTGTTTTATATCGATTGCAAAGCGACGAGATTCCTTGTCTTCAGCAAAAATTCCACCTAGTGTAATAAGGTCGCGGACCTCTGTCGAAAACCAGTCATCGTTATGGCACTAAACATGGTCTAAGAATAGGTTGCTGACCCTGAGAGTAAGCCATTTCAGGTCGCCTAGATGGAAACGTTTCTTCGACCTCTTTGCGGTCAGGTCGGATCAACCAGTATCTCTTCAAACGTATCAAATCAAGGCATAATACGTAGTTTCCAAGGTTCGATTCTCAAACCTTAAAAACTAGGGGACTTCTGTTATGCCTGGAAAGTAGGGCTGACGTAGAGCCCTATCAGCGTAAGCGGTCAGAGCTTAGGTAAGTCCTACAGCCATTCAGACACCGCCACATCACACGCTGACGCAAGTGGCATGCTCCTGCCAATGCAATGTGTGTGCGTCAGGTTGGTGAAAGGCTGGAGAAAGACTGGAGAAGATCTACGTGTCCAATCCCTGCAAGAGTTGAGTAAATCACTCGAGCAGGTGAGCAACGGGACGCAAGGAAGGATTTGCACAGCAATCTGACCTACTCCCTAATTTAGTAATCATTACCTCAATTCATCCCACTATAAATAAAGGGATCCTCTCCCGTTTGTGGGATTAGCTAATTTCTCTCTAGAATAGCATACTCTCTCTCTCTCTCTCTCTCTCTCTCTTGTAACCTCTTGTAAGTCAGCTCGCTGAACGCGACCTGATCTCAAATATATTAATACGAAATACGATACCAGTGGACGTAGGATTCGCTTACTTAAGCATCCGAAACACTTTAAACACTGTTCTTCGTCTTCTATTCAGTTCAAATACCCCCATACACGTGTGTCTTCTGAGCCAATTCAGCATTTCCCACGTGCGTTTAGTTGGTGTCAAAATCACGCATCAACACTATTGAATTGAACGAAAACAAATTCTTCTGTTGCAACATTACACTAGTAACCTTAGTTTCTATCGATAAGAAAAACGCTTAATTACCAATTCCGTAAGTGGCTGTAATGAATTCAAGTTATTTCTCTCTCGAAAGACAAGTCTAATAGTGTTTGAGATCTCCGTGGCAGATAACGAATTTTCTTAAATTCGTAGTACTATCACAAACGGTGTAAAAAAAAAAAAAAAAATGATAATAATTACTAAAGGATTTTATTTGCTCTTCAGGATTAAGTTCTTTTATTTTTTCATTGTTGGCTGAGATGAAAAATGTTGATTTCCTTAAGATTTTTGAAATAATCTAGTGTGAGCGACGTGTAAACTTCTTGTCCTCCAATTCATAAGCACTATTAGATTACATTTAAGTGACAGGTAGTTAATTTGTGTGTCATTTTATTTAAGTAAATTATTTATTTTACAATAGCGTGACTAATATATACATAATATTCCAATGTACTTGAACTCAACTTATATGAATGAATATATTTATCATTGAAATTTTTTGGTCTTTCAATACATTTTTGAATAGATAAACAACCAGCAACTATACTAGTATTCCAGCCTATTCAAATCCGAGCTCGATCTAAACAAGATTTATTATCAAGTTGATTGCTTTGTTGAAGTTCCAGATACTTCTTATACTTTATTCCAACGTAACCTGGAACCTGATTTTCTCTGTCCATCAACTCTTGTGCTGGGCTGACGATTGCGTCAAGTGATGGTCCATGAGCCATAGCTAAAGATATCCTTGTTCTTATGTTGTTCACAACCGCTCGATGGACAATACTTTTGTACTTCCCATTACTTAGAATCTTTACAAACAAAGTGATTTTATCAGTTTTGCTAGAAACATTAAGTTATATATCTAGCTAGATTTTGACGAAGTAGTTGCTAAAATAGAATGTTCTAACAAATTAACTCACCTCGATATGATCAGCAGTGTTGACCATGAATGAGTTAGAAGAGGCATTGACATTGACCCACTTGCCATTATGTTGCAATTGAAGACCACCATTTTCATTTTGTATTAGGAGAGTGAGGAGCCCATGGTCAGAATGAGGGGGCATGCCCATTGCAAGATCAGGCTGTGGACATGGTGGATAGAAGTTTGCTACCAGGATTTGCAAACCTGAATCCAGATTTAGAGTCTTGTCGATGTAGCTGGCATCTAGGCCCAAGCTCTCTGATATTCCTCTAAGCAATTCCCTCGCCACCTCTCGGGTTCTTCTGCAATACTCCATGGCAATCTCTCTGTTCGAACAAGAAACTATTGTTTGGTTTATTCAAAGTTAGAATTATCACCGTTAATTTTAACATTAGTACTAGTCATCAATTTGCCAACTAGTTCTTTCAATTGACCGTTTTGTTTTCTGAATGATTGTTTATTGTTAGATTTTTGTTAGGAGTTCATTAACCACACTTTGACAGAATCAATAGGCCCATGGAATTATGTCATATAGAAACATTGATTTCAGTTGGAGATGAACACTTAATCTTTTGTTTTGGTTACTCTTCTGTTATATTACTATGACGGGGAGATGTGTGATTATCCGCATCGTTTATTTGCGGACCTTATCCTAATTGATCCTAAATTGGCTGACGTGTTGGTGTGCGTGTGTGACTAAGGTTGCCTCAGCATAAAGCGCTAGAGTTTATTATTAATTTGCATATTAATAGTGCTAGCTAGAATGACTTTTGCGATGAAATAATTCAAAAGAGTTTCAACACAGGATAAGAAATTACCAAGATCATGATAATATTTACTAGATTGGAGTGAATATTTTTAAACTAAATTGTAAACAGATTTAATTAACAAAATTTACCTGAATTCAGAGGGTTTGGCGGGTGAGTGAAACTGAGGATGCACGAAGACCTTGAGAAAATCCCTCCAAAATAAGACCTTATCAACCGAAGCATTGAAACTAGTCCCATATCTTATAGGATCTAACACAGCTTTTCCTTCAAACTCTCGCTTCTCCTCCTCAGTAAGATCGAAAAATCTTTTGCATGTATCCATCATTGACTTAATTAAACTCTCTGGCACACCGTGATTTATCACCTAAATCCCACTAATTCAGTATATTAACATTTCATCAACTGTGTATCGAAAATTTATGATATTGCACATTAAACTTTTCACCAAAATAGTCAAAAGTAAATAAAAAATTTTGTTAACAACGTTCTAGCTAAACCATGAAGAGAGTTATATTTACATATACCATGAAGAAGCCCCATTCTTGGCAGGCTTTGCCAAGGTCGTGGATAATCTTGTACCGTTGCTCTGGACACGAAGAGATAAGCAAAGAGAAATCAATGATGGGAATTGAATCATCCGGTTCAGGGTCTGAAATTGATGATTGTTGATCATTTTGATTTTTTCGGAAAGTGTAAGCTGACGGAATAGAGGAGAGGCCGGGAGATTCAGCTAAATCTTTTACACTGGTCATTTTATAAGGTGAGGAAACCAGTGATGCTGCTGTGGCCATGGAGAATAGAGAGAGAAAGCAGATGTGAGTCATTAGTTGTGCATAAGAGTAAACAGCAGAGGATTACGTTTTATAGACACGCCTGAAAAGTCTTGATTATATGCCGAATCGATAATATATTTCATTAACGAAAAAAAAATTATGAACAGTAAAATATACTATATCATGTCTGTGCAAACTACTTGTTATAGACTTAATCATATCATTCCTCTTTTAAATCCAATTATTAATTAAATAAACATTAAACCACCAGATCTATATACCAAAAAAAAAAAAAAAAAAAAAATCTCGGAAACCAAACAGATACCAAGTTCACAATAACCTACCAAATATAGCAATTCCCACACAAGATGGAACCCGAAATTCAATTCCAATACCCCGAAATAAAGATTTAAAAAAAGAGAAAAGGAAGAACCCAAATCAGAATAAAAAGAAAGTGAGATTACCTAACATATGGGAGGAGAGAAATTTTATTTCTTCAGTTTCAGAGCAAGACCGCATGAAGTGTCTAGAGATTATGTAGTCATTTTCAGTCCCAAGAGAAAGGAGTGGGTGTGGGTTGCTTTTAGTTTTGTGTCGGAAGCAAAAGAAAGAGTTGGTAAGAGATGCTGCCTCTATGGGTTGATTGAGCAGGTTTTCAATTAAGTTTTTGTGTTGTTGATACGGAATTTTGTACCAACCAGCATGATTCGATCGACCGTGCCGGGATTGGAACCGATGTGTGCGTGATTAGTGAAAATCAGCAATGAATATGAATGAAATGAATTAAAAACAAAGAGATTTTTAAAGTGGTTCGGCGAGGTTAACAATCTACATCCACTGTATTTTTGTATTTGCTGTGAGAGCTTACAATGCAATTCTTATCTGAAAATCATAACCGCTTCCCCATCGTTTGAGGGGGTTTTTACACAAGATTTGTGAAAAGAAAAGAGAGAAATTAAGGGGATTACAATTGATCTGAATCGTAATTTCGATATTCTCGTGATTGGGCATTGTGATTGCGCAATGATCGCTGTTGATTGAGTCATTCCTGTAATATCTGGAATCTGAAGTAATCTGGAGATTGATTGAATGATTCCTTGAATTGTTCACGACCGAGCTATATCTGGACGAGCTTATATTGGGTCAATCAATCATAATTGCTGAGCTCATTTTGGATCAAGCTATATCCTCGAGTTAGCCCGAGCTTAGCAGAAAAAACCACATACAACATCTGCCCCCTGGTGTTCGATGCTCGTTTCGGGCTTTGAAGACTATTGCTCGATTTGATGCCAAGCTCGGCTTCAACATTGAGTCTTTGAGTGCATGCTCTACTGGGCTCCTATGGTCGACCTTGTGCTTGGCCGACGTACCTCACACTTGGATTTTTATTCCCCCTAGTACCTGTCAAAATTCAGAATATGAAAAGTCAGGTCATAAAGGTAATTTCTGCATGGTTGTGCTGTATTAAATGCGGCAGCCTCTATCAGTTACATTTCGTCGCGCGTGGGCGATGACAGCTATTCACACGTGAAGTCGAGGTGCTGTGCGATGACAGTCATTATTATAGCAATTTGATGGTTTGTCACTCCTCGCAGATGGTCAACACGTGGCCACATCCATGGGCTAAGATTGCCGATGAATGAAGGGTTAAGATCGACTAAAAGCGGACGGCCATGATTAAACTACACCCCTTTGTCTCCAATGCAAACCACTATAAAAGGTGGCGAAAAACCCTAGAATAGTCACTCCGAAAGTTACTTTGACTTTGGTTCTCCTTTGTCATTGTTCTTACGTCATCGCGGTGGTCTTTCTCACAAGTTTCCAGCACTTTCCTTATTCTGGTAAGGCTTTTTCCCCTATCTTCTTCTGTTTTCTTGATTTTCGCATCATAGGGTGGCTACTGTGGTGGCCACATTGAATGTCTTAAGGTTTTAGTAGGGTTTTTGGTTGCATCTCCAGCGGTCTCAGGTTTTAAAGAGGTTTAACATGGTGGCCACAGGTATCCCGAGTTGGTCGCGTACTTTCGTTGTATTACGCGAGCTATCTCGGTTGCTTGAAATAGAAGCGAGTGTGGAATGGTCGTCGATTTGTTTGAGCTCTGACACATGTTCGCTTCTTTTTTTAGGTACCTAGAAGTCCCTTGAGGTCTCTGAAGAATTCATCGCTTGAAGCTCAGACCCCAACGATGCGGGCTTGTCCATCGTGCTTTGATTCAGCTAGCCCAATCTCCATCGTCTCCAGCCAATAGGCTACGAAGAGAATCACAATCCTTGATTACCCTCAGGGATCTCAAATGCATAAGAGCGACCTACACGCTGCAGCTTTACTTGATGGTTCTGGGGAAATATTCTCAGAAGATCCCCCCACATGGATGGGTAGCAACCTCTGAGAATGTCTTTAGGTGTTAAGTATCCATTCCCCCACACTACTTCATCAATAACATATTGAGGCAATTCGACATTGTTCCTCTTCAACTGACGACCAACTCTTACGTGATCATTATCGCGATGTACATCACGTACATGATCACTGAATTGGGCGAGCCATCTGTCAAAGAGCTCATCCACTTGTACAAGCTCAAAAAATAGCAAGACCAGACGTACTACCTTTCCAAAGTGAGGATAGTACTTTTTAACGGGCTGATCGACGTCCCAAAGAAAGTTTCACACTAGGATTCACAGTTCTTTTTCTACGAAGCCTGGGAGACCGGTGTCTTCGCTATGGAATCGAGTAAGGCTCAGGCTTCCTGTGTATGTGCGAGGATTATTCTCGAGTTGTACATTCTAACTTATCGTCTTGTTTTATTTTTACAATTAACGTCGAGCAGAGTTATCTTCTAGCCGAAGGATTACAAAGGCTACAGCATTTTAGCGATCTTCCAGACAATCAGTGCAACGTCAATGAGCTTCTTACGCGTCCTCACTGAAAGCATACGACTTTTATCGAGACGAGGCCAATTTCTTAGCACTTTTGGAGAAAGGTTAAGTTGTTGCTTGCTCGCGCTTGCTTTCCCGTGTAAAATAGATTGCTAATTCTCTTGCCTTTTTTCTTGCAGACATGTGGGCCAAAAAACCAAAAAAGAAGAAAATGGCTACCTCTATGGCCGCTACAAAGGCTCCGGCTACTTCTAGAACGAAGCAGCTTGTGGAAATTGCAGGCTCGAAGTGTGCCGGTGGCAAGCTTAGGGGAGGCCTAAGTGTGAAAAATCTCATGACTGCCACTAAGGTAGTTGGCGAAAAAAGCATTGCAAAGCCCCAAAAGGGGCTAGCAAAGAAAGTGTCCAAACCAACTAGAAGTTCGGGAAAAAATAAAACACCCGAGCAACAAATTGGCAGGCAAAGAGGTCACCATGCAAGCTGGCAGCCTTCGAAAAGAAGCGGCCAAAGGCTTGGCCAAGAAGAAATCTGCCCTGCTTCCAAGGCATGTGCTTTTGGGGGGAGCAAACCTAGCTTGTCCCTATTTTATTGGAAGCCAGCACGACAGATGGAGAAAGAAGGCCAAGGAAATCACACCTTCACACTCTTGAAGTAAGTCCTTTTAACCAGGAACAAATGGAGATGCTTCAAAAATTATTGTCTCCTCTTCTTTCTACTCAGTCACAAACTGGTTTGTCTTCAAATCATGTCATTGGTCTAGAACCCTAAATCACAAAGGTAATTCTATAAGCATTTTTTGTGTGTATAAGAAACAAAAACAAACCCTAGATTATGGACTCAAGAGCATCTAATTATATAATGGGAGATGCAATGGTTTTTAATACATTTACCTCATGTATAAATAACTTAACTGTTAGAATATCGGATGGTTCACTATCAAAGGTTATTGGTACAAGTTTAGTTGTGTTATCAAAGGATATTACACTCAATTTTGTTGTTCTTGTTCCTAAGTTGGACTACAATTTGTTGTCAATTAGTAAACTTACTAAGGAAAGGAGGTGTGTTACTAATTTTTTCTCCACTCATTGTGAATTCCAAGATTTGGATTTGGGGAAGACGATTGGCAATGCTCAGGAGTGCTCTGGGCTATACATCTTTAAAGAGTGCCCTTATTCACAAGAACAACCTCAAACGGAAATTAGTGTTAGTTATTTTTAAGTATTTCATCAAAATAATGATAATACTATTATGTTATGGCACTATCGCTTAGGTCATCCAATTTTATATATCTCAACATTTATTTCCTTTGTTATTTAATAAAAATCCAAAACCTCTTGAGTGTGAAATTTGTCAATTATCCAAGCATGTCCGATCTCATTTTCCTATTCAACCCTATAAAGCATCTATACCATTTTCTATGATTCACAACGATATTTGGCGTCTGTCAAAAATAAAAAATATAACGAGTGCTACGTGGTTTGCCTCATTCATAGATGATCATACAAGATTAACTTGGGTGTTTCTTATGAAAGACAAATCAAAAACAGGTCAAATCTTTTAAAATCCTAAAGTCTGACAATGTTAGGGATAACTTCAATGCCGTACTAGGAGACTTCCTATAAAAAGAATGGATAGTTCACTTAAGTTCCTATGTAGACACCCGCAACAAAACAAAGTTGCTGAAAGGAAAAATAGACATTTGTTAGAGGTAGCTAGGTCGCTAATGTTCCCTGCAAATGCACCTAAATTCTTCTGGGGGGAAGTCATTCCTACAACATCATATCTTATCAATAGGATGTTGTCTAGGGTGCTAAAATTTCAAACACCATGTCAAACTCTTCTAAAATCTTTTCCAACTACTCGTCTCATTTCCATTGTTCCACCTAAATTTTTTGGGTGATTTATCTTTGTCCATGTCCATCAACAACATAGAAGTAAACTTGATCCTAGGTCACTTAAGTGCATCTTTCTTGGCTATTCAATAAATCAAAAAGGATATAAGTGTTACTCTATTGTCACAAGAAAATTCTAAAATTCAATGGACATCACCTTTTCTTTAGAATCAGCCACACTACCCCAAAACTAATATTTAGGGGGAGAATTCAACTTAGGAATATCAATTTTGGGACTTTGAGTCATTCCTAGAGTCACCTATCACCACAAAAAATAAAAATCGCTCAGTGCCAGAACATCACATCCCTCTAGAGTCACTTAGTTAGCCTCTACCTACCGAAAGCACCAAGTTCATTGTTGACTTGCGGGATACGGAGCGCATCCAAGAGGAAATAGAGGAAAGAGCACTTCCTCAAGAAAATCATGAAGCTGAACTAAGTCCTAATCCTCCCAAAATTTGAGGTAATAGTTCTGACTTAGATGGTTATGTTGATTCTGAGTTAGATAATGAGATCCAAAATATGCCCACAGCTTGGAGAAAAAGGGTTCGGTTATGCACTCAACATTACATTGGAAACTTTATGTCATATGATGGCTCGTCGCCTTCTTTTCATGCCTTCACTATTAGTCCTATAGAGATACAAGTTCCTCACAATATTCAAGAAGCTTTCAAGTGTCCTAAGTGGAAGGTTGCTGTTAATGAAGAGATTTAGGCACTAAGAAAGAATGGAACTTAGGAAATTACTGATCTTCCAGGAGGTAAGAAAACTGTTGGGTGTAAGTGGATCTTCACAATGAAATATATGGTGGATGGTAGTGCGGACATGTATAAAACTCGTTTGGTCGCCAAAA